GAATCAGCTTCCCATTTATGTTAAGGAAGCAGATACGGTCTCCACATTCAAGGCCAGGCTTAAAGCACTTTACTTTAATTTAGCATATAATTAGGTAATATATAATATGTAGTGTATATATTATATATATATGCTGTATTATGTTATATATTATGTTATATATTATTCAATAATGTATTGTGTTATGTTGTATATTATGTTATATATTATGCTGTATGTTATTCTTTATTCAAGGCTAGGTTTAAAACAGTCCTCTTTAGTTTAGCATATGGCTAGGAAGGTAAGACTCGGAGAAGGTTAAACTCCTCAGACTGTCAGTCAAGCTGCATAGGGAGTCAGTTTGCTGGGAGAAGTATGGTAACTTGAGCACTATCCTCTCCTCCTTCCTACTTTATCTGTTTAGCATTTTTAGGATTCTGACTGTAGTTTGTTCATTGCTATTCACCCGTTGTCCCATTGTCTGTTTCATGGTATGATGACGGGATCTCTGAGCCTGGCCTCCTCCATCTACACCTGCGGACTGCCCCGCCCGACCCGCCTGGGAGTGCTTCAGTCCTGCACCGGACCTGTCCACGTTCAGCGGCCACTGGTCCACGTTCTGTAGCTAGCTTAGGTCCTAGATCATTAGCCTGTCCGTCCGGGGAGCGGATCCCTTTCTCAAATGGGTCTCCCTCCCTGTGGGTTTCCCTAGTTCTCCCCAAGGTTTCTCACTTTTTCCCACTGGGTTTTTTAAGAGTTTTTCCTTGTCGATGCAGGAGGGTCTTGTTGGACAGTTAGTGTCCAACAGAAAGGATTGGTGATGATCAGGACACTTTAGCATTCTACAACATGTATGGACATTTTCTTCTGTGTGTGCTTTATATTCTTCATGTGTTTTAACTGTTGATTCTCTGACCTGTGTTGGTGATTTCAATGGTTTTGTTAAGTCCTCTGAGATGACTTCTGTTGTGACCTAGGGCTATACAAGAATAAATTGTATTGTATTGTATTGTATTGTAACTATCTGGTCAGTTTTATACATCCTAAGTTTATTGTACTAAGTGTAAAGTTTAAATTGAATGTTATATAAACGCTTGCTTTAAAAAGTTATTAAATTGTTAAAACACAATGTCCGTAATTCTTCATCAGACGTTTATGCTTCTTTCCAAGTAACATAGCAAAACTTATTTACACACATACTGCATATATATTTCAAAATTTATATTTAAATGCATTTTCCCGACGTTTTGGTGTGTACCGCAAAGAATTATGGGCAATATCCTTCGCCAGAGTGCGCATAGATCCAGGCTACGGCGAAGTGTGGATCAGGGGCGCAAAGGGGGCGGGGCCAAAGACCTCCCTGGAGAATTGGGACACCCTACGCACTCGCACCCTTTATCGGGAACGCGCAAATGAGGGGCGCGAGGGTGGAAGTGCGAGTATTGGGACGGGGCCATAGAAAACTGAAGGATTTAAGAAGAAAAAAAAGTTCAGGATGACAGGGGACACTGGAATCCCCACAATATCTGACCTTTATGAAAGTTGTAGACGCTTTGTCAGCTGAGGTCGAGCTGTTTTAGTTTACATTGAGTTCTATGGGAAAAATTTCTGGGTAGCCCATGTGAATTTAGTCTGCAGTACCGCGAGAATCTTCCGAGCACGTGGGTCCTTCAGCTCTAAGTAATACCCTATCTAGATATTATACTGTATAATACATCCATGCCTTGAACCCTCCTACCTCAAAAAGTAAAAAATAATGTGAGAAACTCGTGGGGGAGTTCAAAAGTTTCTGGTTCAGACTTGAGTCCGTCCAACAAGAAAATAGCAGAGCACCAGAGCCCATAGCAGTGCATGCAGCTCACAAGTATGTCTTGTGAGTTAGTGTTAGTTAGTTTGCAAAACTAATTATTACGTTGTAATGGAATTGTGTTTTGAAGCCAAGCTATACTGTAATTCATCATATTAACTTGTACTATTGCAAAGCAAAGGAAGGTTTCTCACCCATCATCTGTACTTCTTAGCAGGTTTTCCCGACGTTTCGTCCTCAATCCAAAGGACTTCTTCAGGGAATGAATTCTCGGACCGCGCGTTGGAGATTTATAACCTATGGGTGTGGTTAGCCACACCCTAATCCTGATACTAACTCATAAACAATCTAAGGTCTGTTTGATGTAGAAGGGAGCAGGTCTAACGACCCTGCTGAGGCTAACGACCCTAACTCATTAGCATGTCACTGACCTTGTCCCAAGTTAGGGCTTGTTTTTAGGATGTCGTCATAGATGCGAGGCAAAACAAATCTTAACCCTCCTCCTCTGTTAAGAGAAGGTTTTTGTTCCCTCACAAAAATGGCTTCTTTCACCCCTCTCTCAAACCAATTTTTCTCCCGAGCCAGAATTTTAACCTCTGTGTCATTTTGTGGTTTCAAAAATGGGTACCGCAGCTTTAAGAACATTTTTTCTGTTTCCTCAGGGTTGGAGCAGGAGCGGTGGATCTTGTGTGAAAGTGCAGGGCGGTGTTGACAGTGGACACACAGCTGGATTGTGTAAATGTCACATGCAGTAATGGTTACGATGAGGGCCCTTCTCATGTGTGTGATGGACTAAACATGGACCATATGCGCGACATCACCCACCATCAACAGACAGCGGCGAAACCATGACCCAGATAACAACTGACTTTACCATATATGCTACTTGTGCAATACCATGATGCTTTGCGGGCTGGAGGGGTCATATGCACTGGCTCGGACTCTGAGGAACACCAGGACTGGACTCCTGCTGGTGCCCAGAGTCTGGACTAAACATGGGGGAGGCTGCGTTTCAGATTCATGCTGCTAAAATCTGGAACAGTCTTCCTGAAAATGTGAGACAGGCCTCTTCTCTGACAATGTCTAAATCTAGGTTCAAAACAGTTATATTAACCGTGCATACAACTGAGGGAATTTATTTTGGCTCGTGTTAATGTACGGTAATTATTTTTGATTATCATTTCTATACGTGTCCATCTTGTCTTATCTTGCACTTTGACTTGCCTCAGGTATGATTTGCAATACAAATAAACTTGCCTATGCCAGATACCATCAGACCTCAGATGCTAAGCAGGGCAGGACCTGGTCAGTACTGTGATGGGAGACCTCTGGGAACACCAGTTACCACAGTGGGGCGGCTGCGGCTGTATAGTGCCAAACTTTCATTGTGTCCTTTTCAATGGTTGGTGATAGCACATAATGGTTGCCTAGCTTCTGTCAGTGTGCCCCAGGGCAGCTGTGGCTACATTAGTAATTTAGCACCACCATGTATGGAGTGAATGAACAATGACATGGTCTTTGAGTGTGTATAAAACTGATCCATTATCAAAATAATTATAAACCTTCAGAGATATGAAACATAAAAAAACCATATTTGTCCTATATTATTTCAAACAGGCAAAAACATACAACTTTTTTTTAGACATACAAAAATTGCATAATGCACCTTTACTGATATATGCATGACAATTAGCTCGGGAAAAGTTTGACCAAAAATGATCAAACCTTTTAAAACAAAAGAGACAGAGCTGCATGAAGTTTCTGACATTAGCCTGGATGGATCTAAAAACAACTCCAGGTCTGTTTTAAATGAGGAACATAAGTCGTAACATGGTTAAAAACTCATTAAAGTCAAACCAAACCAATAATTCGTCCTTGCCACATACTGTATATATGGCTTCAAACCAATGGGAGCTGATCTGTCGGGATAGGACCTCAGTGAATCAGACCTGGATGTTATTGTGAGAGGATCTAAGTGAAAGTGGTCTCACTCAGGGCTCAGGCATGCCAGCTATGTGCTCTGGGTATTTACTGGAAGAGACTGCTCACGTTGCCAACCGGCTCACTCCGCTGGGTTTATAACACAATGCAATCCAATGAGCCTTGAGCCTCTGTAAGAACGTATGAGATTGGTAAAAACGTCATAAAAATAAAAATAAAAACAGGTTTCAGTGTCTATTGTAAATCCACACATGCAGCAATTATTCATAAATATTGATACCAGGAGTGAAAAAAACGTATTCAATAATTGCAAAAACTCCACTCTGAAAGTAATGCCGAGCTTTTATAAATGGGATGAAGTTAAAATATTTTCCAATTTCAATAGTGTGAAAGATTAAGATTTTTTTGTGTGATTGTTTTGTGATCTGGTCTTGTTGAGTTGCCTTGTGTATAAACTGTGCTTCACAAATAAATTTGCCTAAAATCCAAATATCTTGTTCTTTGCTTTGAAAATAATTTGCTTCTATCACTAGTTTTCACATGAATGTATTATTAGCCTCGTTCACATCTTTGGATCAGCATTTTTCAGACAGAAATTAGGAAAAAAGAGAGGACCTCCCTCACTCAGCCAATCAGCTCTCAGTATATACAGTTAGGTGAAGATGAAGGCAGCATGTTGTGTTCACAAAATGATTTTTAGGCAAGACTTTCTGTTGGGACAAACACACTTTCGGTACTCCGCAGTTTTAAACACTTGCCTGGATTTACTTGAGAATAATCAAGATTTAGTTTTGCAAAATATAATCAACTGCTGTTATACCTTATGGATACAGAACAAGAAATGCGCTGTTAGCATGCTATCTATTGACAGCTTTACCTCAGCAAAAACTCCACTCTGAAAGTTTAGTGACAGTACTTACACTGATTCTATTTTGTACTATTTATTGCTTTTTTTTTCTCTTTTTAAACCCACATTTTAATAATATTTTCGTTCCACAAACTTTAATGCTGCTCTGTTTTATATTTCATTGACTTTATGCATTTTGATCTGTGTTTTTGAATTGCTCTCGTGAAGCTCTTTGTACACAAATTGTGCTTTACAAATATATGATTGATTGATTGAAATATTCTTAATTTCATCATGGTGAAATTATCATGGTGCCATACATGGGAATATTCAGTTGCAAACATACAGTATGTATACAATGGTAAGTACAATGGCTTAGTTTATGATTTAAAGCCAGTGTCTCATTCTTGTAAAACACAGACTTACATATCTCCTTAGCTTCTTCTCTGGGGGAGACTTTCTCAGCCATCCTTCACAAATTGCATCTCCAGCTCCACTCATCATTGTCCGATACAATCCACTCTGTCTGCACAAGCTCAATGGTTTGTTGAATTGTGATGAAAACAAAAAACAACTCTTTCATTCAAAATGTTCTTATGCAGTAAAATAGTGTTATCCCAAATCCATCAAAAATATTGTGGTGTTTATAAAGAATCATCTGTTGGGCTTTTCAAAGTTCAAAACTGGTCCAAAAAGTGGAGAAGAAGGTGCAGAGTAGTCCGGTTCTTCTGTGGGAATGGTTTATCCACAGTCCCTGAGCTGTGTCCTGCGTGTGTGTGTGTGTGTGTGTGCGTCCTGTGTCCTGTGTGTGTGTGTGTGTGCAACAGCTGAACACAATACATTCCTCAAGCTCCCTCCCACTGGCCCCTCCCACCTCTCCCCATCGCTCAGGAAACCCAACTTTTTATGGAAACACTCACAAACCAGAACTTACGGAACAAGTGGGATCCGTCCATGTCCCACGACCAAGAAGAGGCGGGGTTATGGAGAATTAAATATGGAATACAGTTGTATGGACTAGGTTCTGTATTGAAAAGGGAGTTTGATGTAAATAAGAGAAACAGAAAATAACAAACATTTTTGAACTTTTATAATAGTTTTCAACCCTAAACAATTTCTGAGATTATTAGCTTCAATTACATATATGAGCATTGATCATCCTACTACCAATGGCTCCTGTGCGTTTGTTATTCTTGTCCTCCGAGATGACGGCTGAGCTACAAAAATACATTGAATTTCCTGGTTTTTGTAAATTTCCAGTTTATTACTACTATGTTTTTTGGAAGGTTTCCGAATGAAAAAGGGTGCTGTTGTCATTATAATTGTAAAGACATACAAATGACTGCGATAATAGCAAAGAGTGCAACATTGAGCAGACACAGATACCGCATTAAAAATCTCAGTCCTACAAGCACAAATCTTCTAGTAAAAGATTATTACCGTGATAATATTCAATATTCAATGTGTCTATGGAAATGGAAAGACGACAACACTTTAAGATTGGTGCAGATGAGACTTTCTACTACGAAAAAGCAACAACATATCTATGGGAAACACTTTGGGTGCGCAGAACAAGATGCTGGTTGTACCTTTGCTTGTTTAGGTTGAAGGTGTAAATATTCATAGTTTTACAGCAGTCAAATCCAGATACACAACATGTAGAGGGCATTGGTTCAGTAAGATGGAGTCTATATCCATTTTAGGAACACTAAAAACGTCATTGATTACAGTGATAAATATGTACAATTTAGCTTTGGCTTTTGCTTGTATTGTGCGTAATGTGAATAAAGATAAGTGCTATAATGTTTTCCAAAGCACAGATGTGTCTCCGCTGAGGCAACAGTGAACAATGTAGTGACATCTAGTGGTCGTTCAATTCACTTACACGTGTTCTGTACTACATTAAAGTACATAATAAAATAAAAGTACATTATTTTTGTTTCTCCCAAAATCACATCAGAGATTAATTATGAACACATTTTCCACAAAGAAAACAATGGAGACTTTGATATAAGAGTAAAGCCTACAAACAGCCCATGAGACGACCCCCCCCTCCAACTACAGTATATTTTGTGCTTTGTACTCACAGGGAAGGGATACATGGGGCGAAACAGGTTGGTACCACAGTCCTACATTATGTGTTTACTTCCATTATTAACCATTTAATTGCCCTTATGACTCCAACCCTCTGACGTCAAGGCATTTGAATATTGACATTTGCATACTTCTAATGACAATGTAGAATAGTCTATAGCTAGTTTGCTTATGTCATTATGTGGGCATGTGTTTGTAACGCCTGGGGCTAAGGATCTGACTGGGCCGAAGATAGAGGGCAGGGCTTTCAGACTAGGTTCGCCTACAGGAGCCAAAGCGAGTGAATAAGAGACAAAACGAGTATTTGCGGTTTCAAGTATGTATATATATTGTTTTTCAAAAATGATTTGCATACATAATAACAGGTATGGTATAATGAAAAGGTGTAACAATTAGTTGGCAGGGTATAATAAAATATTACTAGTACAATAGATATATCTATTGTACTATAGTAATATTTTATTATTACTTATTTTTTATTATTACTTTTCTTCTATAATATAACTTATTAATCTATTATATATATATAATAGATTAATAAGTTATATTATAGATTACCAGGTATAATTAATGTTATAATATAATGTGTATGGAATAACTTATATTATCTATTAATTATAACTCAAACCAAAAACCAAAATCCAAAATCAAAGAGTCAGTCCAAATCTTGAAACAAAAAGGAAAAAACAAAACTGAAGTGTTCACCAGGTATTGATTCACAGTTCAATCCTTTTTAGAGTTCAGTTCATTGAAGATCCATATTTCACGGAAAGTTCATATATCCAAGTTCGAAAACAACAAAAGGTGTCCTACCGCGATACAGCGGGGGTTGGGTAGCTCGCCATCGAAGAGAGTTCAGAGGTACACAAAAAAAACCTGACCTAAAACACAACTCAGGAAAAAAATACCCCATTAGTTAAGTACTGAAGTTAGCAGTACTTTAAACAGGTACAACATAAATATCTAAATATTTATAAATATATATCATTTTATTTTATCTTGGATTAATTTTGATTGTTTGCCCCGCCCTAATGTGATTCTCCTGCTTTTCCCCCACGTGCTGTCTGCCCATTGTCTATACCAGGGGTGGGCTATATTCACTCCAGGGGGCCATATTGGGATATTGGTACACTGTGGAGGGCCGGACTCCTTTTCATGTACATATACTTTCAATGTATAGTTACCATTTAATTTTATATGGATCAACATATTTGAGAAGTAGAGGGAAACCTGAACATATCCAATGTTATCGTTGTGTGAATTTGTTGATATTTTGCATTTGAAGTCATATTTCTTTTAAGCTTTTACAATATGGTACATACTTTAAGGATTTTATTATTTTATTAGACATGGATTATGTTTTAGTTGTCTTTAGATATTTGCTTGGAGTGAACCAAAGCTACAGAAGACTAAGTGTTATGGACAGATTAAAGTTTAGGATTAATTAATATGAGGGCTAACATGCCATCATAGCGCTCACGAAGTTGCAAACCTTCATTGGAAAGTCATTTATATAAGGAGGAGACAGTATAAAGTTTGTCGAGAGGAAAAGGCCCAAGGTCCATATAGAAACGTGAACCGGGCCGCATCTCGCCCTTGGGCCGCACTTTTCTCTGGTATGTATATATACAGTATTTTTTTTTTTTCATACAAGTTCACATTGTTATTAGTCCTGCATTTTGGGTTTGAAATAAATAAAGAAAGAAAAGCCATAGGAAATGTTGAAACATGATTTCTTAGGCCGCGCATAAAAGAGATAATGTTCATGACTATTTCCAATGCAAAACTTTGATTTATGCAAAACAACTGTAATGGTGTGTCTGGGGTTTGTATTATGAAACTAAGTACATTGTGCAACTGGGGAAGAGACTGCAGACCTCGGAGGTAAGACTATAAACATGCACTATGTGACTTTTCTGCTGTTAAACCTGACTGTGTCTGTGTCGATGGTAATGCTTTTAATTCTTTTTTGCTTTCTTTCAACTATGACTTCACTTTTGCACTAATACAGTGTTAATCAAGATGCTATCGGCCGTGGTAATTGCCACCAGCAAGATAGCAGCACCTTTTAACTCATTGACTGCCAGCCGTTTTTGATTATTTCACTGATTCTCAAGACCCACAGAATATTATGTGCGAGGACTACGTGAAATATGAAACCAGAGTCTGAAACACTGGACTGTCTACTTTCATCAGCAAAAATCTGTTTGCTTTTAGCTATTTTTGTTGTCCTGTAATCCCCAGTCGAATATAGGGAAGTTTGACAGAAATCACCAGTCTCAGACAAATACGTCAATGGCAGGTCAAATGTGTGGATAAATATATTAAAACTGTTATAGAATGATATTATTGTTTCAATAGTTTTGTGTAGCTTAGCAGCATTGTTTTGTTCTGAATGTTTTGGCTGTTAATATCTGCTGATCTCTGAAACGAACCACAGTGAAAATGATTACAAACCACATTTTGGCATAACTTCATAATACACCTTTCATATGCGATGCACATCTCAAGGTGCTACAGAAAGTTACAACCACAATCAAAACATCAGAAACAAAACTCATACAGACAAATACAAAAATGCATTAAAAGACATGGGATGCAGATCAGCACTCCACACTGTAGGGCCTGCAGGTAATGGGGCAGAGCATTCCACAGGTGTGGAGCAGCTACAGAAAAAGGCATGTCCCCATGTGACGAAACCGTGTGATTGGCAAACTGAGACGGTAGGTGTTTGTAAGCCAGAAGGATCGTGATGTGGACTGCAGAATGAGGAAGTCTTTGAGGTATTCTGGAGCGTTGCTGTGAATGCATTGGTGAGTGAGGAGACAGATTATATATTCGATACGCACATATATGGGGAGTCAGTGGAGTTTACGGAGGACGGGGATTATGTGGTCATACTTGCTTGTTATCATCAGAATCCTGGCAGCATTGTTCTGAATACGCTGAAGTTTTTGAAGGCTTCTGCCAGGGATCCCGACCAGGAGGGCACAATAGTCCAACCTGATAAAGGCGTGGAGCTGCTTCTCAGCATCACAGATTTTTCTTAAAAGTAGGCAGTTTTGGAGGGAAGTTGAGTCCAACCTTACACCGAGGTTTGTAACACAGGATGAGGGGGTGTTGGTATGGCCAGAGAAACGGATGCAAACGGAGTTGATGGGGGGGTGCCAATTTGGAGTGCTTCTGTTTTTGTGCTGTTTTGCTGGAGACAGTTCTCATCCAAGCCTCTGCCTCCTCCAGGCAAGAGGTGAGTGCAGCAGGGATAGATCAGGGTCCAGTCTCACCCAGCCTCTCCCTCTTCCACATTTACGTTGAAACTCCTTTCTTCCTCTCTCCTCGTTGATCAGAGAGAAAACTGCAGTGTCATCCAAACAGTAACATAGAGAACAGATGCTGGTGTCATTCTGGAAATCTGCTGTGTAGATGGTGTTCAGGAATGATGAAAATACTGTTCCATAAGCAAATCGGGTGGTACTGACTCATACCTCTTAAACTCCTACAACATTTTTGCTCGTGCACAAAAGTTGGGCATACCCAAAAGTCTTTGCTTATTTAAAAACACATCCTACATCTCACATGTTTGTGTGATGCATCATTTAAAAGCTAGAGCCTTCTAGTTTATGTAAATATACACTAAAATAATGTATATCATTCCTATTTCACTCTGCATCCTTTGAAGTTTGGGAAAAAAATCAGTTTTTAAAGCCTCGCCTAAAATATTCAATATACAAATGCCCTAAAAAAGCCTGCTTCATTGGAAGAAGACAATATTCAAAGCCAATTTGTTCATTGTGTTGTTGACAACAACTGTGTAAAGTTTCAGACTTCTAAGTTTTATAGTTTTTATGCAGTTTCAAGGCTGAATGTCCGCTGATAATGGAAGAGCAGTGCATATGTTTTTTCAGAACTTTTTATGGCTAAACATACATTTTTGGGTTATTTCTCCAGAATGGATTATAATTTGGAAAATACAAGTGGATATTTTTATTCCATGGACAAATCCGGAGTGAATGAGCATAAGCAATGAAGGGGGAGGTCTAATTTGTTCAAGCAGCAGAAGACGAAAGGTAAAAAACGTATACACACGTCATTTCTTTTGTTCTCATATTATGTGTTATATCTTTGTAATGCCAAGTCTGATATTGTTTACACTTATATATAAATGTAGATGAGAAAACAAGCTTTAAAATGATTTAAAGCTTGTGGGTTATGAAGTTCAAAATGCATCTGCTTTTGCCAGCAGATGTATTTTTTTCCTCATTTGCCCCCGCCGGCGGGGGCTAGCGAGCTTAGAGTCAGTACCACCCGAAATCTTATTTGCGGTCCGAGCCTCAAACACCAAACCTATCAATTATTATGAACTAACTATCATGCATGTGTTTCATATAGTGTTTTTTTTTTTTTTTTTTCGGACACTCAAATACACTACATGGCATTATTCCTTCACTCCACACACAGCAGTGAGATACTGTAGCCACAGCTGCCCTGGGGCACACTGACAGAAGCAAGGCAACTAGCATTACCATCATCCCCTCTGACCACCACCAACTATCCACCAGACTCATTCTAGCCATGCCCCTCCCTCCTCAGCTTCAAAGGTCTGACAGGATCCGGTTTTCACATGCCGATGGCGCCACAACATTTAGGATCAAACATTCAAGACGGCTCCAATCCAGATGTAAACCACAGATATTTAAAACACGCTAAATCTTCTTTGTCTGCATTTGTCTCCACAGCGATGTTTTCCAACGTCTCCAACGCCTCCTCAGCACTTCCTGCTCAGGCCTGGCTCCTCTCTGGCCCCGCTTCCTGTTTCCTGTTCAGCTTCAGTTTCACCATCTTCCTGTCCTTCTCGATCACCAACATCGTGGTCGTGCTGCCCTTCTCCCTCTGCGTCTGGTCCCTCGGTCTTTGCCGCAAACGTTTCCAAAAGTCAACTACTCATTTGGACATGTTCACGTACCACATGGTGGGAGTTGATACGGTCGCGGTAGCTGTCTGCGCGGCGTACATTTACGGCTACTATGCGAACGCTGTGCGGATGATGTTCACCGTGATGCAAGTCTATTCAAACATTTCGAACGGACAAACTATTTTCCATATTTTCACTTGCCTTGATCGCTACATCGCCGTGGTTCATCCAATCACGTACATCCGCCTCAAAGAGAAAGGCGGGGTGCGATTGAGGAACTTTCTGATTGCTTGTGTTTGGGTTGCGCTCCTTTCTACATTCGTTTTTGAAACCTTCGTCGATGAACCAATCCAGCTCGCCTATTTGGCATTTTCAGTCGCTGTCATTTTGTTTTGTAACTTTGCCGTTCTGTATGTTTTGATTCGTCCACCTGCCGGAGAAAGAGTCCATGTCAGCCAATCCAAAAGGAAAGCCTTCAACACCATCGTACTCATTCTATCTGCACTACTTTTCAGAGTGATCCTGCATCTGTTTGTTGTCGGACTATTCTCTTCCGAGCTGTTGAGCAAAAGGATACGATGCGCTGCACTGGTCTCCGGAGTGTTTTTTATTTTTCCGAGTTCTGTTGTGTTACCGTTACTTTTTCTGTACAAGTATAAAGCAACATGTTGTAATGGGAGATCAGAAAGTCCAGTTACTGCCACTAGTTCATAAGGTTGTGAAAGGGCGACCAAAAGACTTTCCAAGGGAGAATGGTTAAGTATAATTTTTAGTTTCCTTTCATTTTTGTTAATCAAATATAATCATTCAAGGATGAAATCCTGGATAGCAGAAAACTTTCTCCAGCTCAACCAGGACAAAACTGAGGTTTTAGTCATCGGTCCTGAGGCCCAGAGAGAGAAACTTTTATCAAAACTCCAATCACGCTCTTTTAATCCATCATCACAAGTGAAAAACTTGGGCGTAATCTTTGACTCTGAGCTGACTTTTATTCCTCACATCAAGAGTATCACAAAAGGTTTTTATCATCTAAAGAACATTGCCAGAGTCCGCCCCATTCTCTCTCGGGGCAACACGGAGACGCTGATGCATACTTTTATCACCAGTCGCATTGACTACTGTAATGCCCTGCTCTCTGGTCTTCCCAAAAAGAACATTGCAAGTCTTCAATTACTCCAAAACTCGGCCGCACGTGTCCTGACTAAGACCAGGGGGCGGGACCACATTTCACCGGTTTTAAAATCGCTGCATTGGCTCCCCGTGTGTTTCAGGATTGATTTTAAGGTTCTTTTAATGGTTTTTAAATGTCTTAATGGTCTTGGGCCTTCTTATCTTTCAGAACTGCTTTTATCCTATGAGCCTTCCCGGCCCCTGCGGTCCTCCGGCAGCAGACTCCTAACCATCCCTAAAGTCAGGACACACACTCACGGTGAGGCATCTTTCCAGCACTACGGCCCCCGTCTCTGGAACAGTCTGCCGGAGGAGCTCAGGGCCGCAGAGAACGTTCATATTTTTAAAAGTAGGCTCAAGACACACCTTTTTAGATTAGCTTTTAATAAGTTTTTATTGTTCCATTCTTCCATCTTTTATTATTTATTATTTATTATATTGCTATTGCTATTATTCATGTATTTTAGTCTCACATTTTAGTGTTTTACTTATTGTATTGTTTTTAGTGTACTCAGTGTTTCCTCTGGAGGAGCCCTCTGCACTGGGAGCAGTGGTCGGTGTGGCTGCGGGGGGTTGGACTCTTGGACCTGGTGGGGGCCTGGGGCCTCGGTTTCGTGTCTCCTCTGGGTCCTGTGTCGTCCCCTGTGGCTACGGGCGGCTCTCTGCTCCTGGTGCAGACGGCTCCTTGGATGACGCTTTTTCAGCTGGTTGCATCTGAACCCTGCCAAGTCTCTCATCATGGTTTTATTGTTTTACTGGTGTGTGTGTGTGTGTGTGTGTGTGTGTATGAGTGTTCATGAGAGCGTGTGTGTGTTTGTTTGTGCTTTGGGGTGGGTCTGTTGGGTGGTCTGGGGGAGGGGTCTTGGGCCGGCGGGATTGTTTTTAACCAAACTGTAAAGCACTTTGTGTTGCATATTTTGTATGAAAAGCGCTTTATAAATAAAATTTGATTGATTGATTGATTCAAATAATTCTTTACCATTTCATGTTTTGGAATGCACCTGTTTAGATATCTTAAGTAAAATATACATGGAGACAGATTTATCCACGAAAAAAACAATCAACATCCTATGCTACCACATTTGGCTTTTATTGTTTTTTTCCAAATTCAAAAATCACCGACAAACACCATGGAACTGTAATTTAGGGGGACTACCTCCTCTGTGATCACAAAGTGGAGCAAATACAACATACAATTACAGTTTTGAGACAGAAGCTTTTTGACAGAAGGGGTAGGGTTACATGTTTGAGCGAGAAGTTACTGATATTAGCTTAGATGGATCTAAAAACAACTCCAGGTCTGTTTTATATGTATAACAACTATGAAACACTATTAAAGACTCCTAAAAGTTGAATCGATATGTGTTTGTATATATCTCCAAACAAATGTTAATCTATTTAGTCTTCTTTGACGAATGACGAAATTAATGCCTCATTCATTCACAACCGTTTGTAATGCCACATTCACTCATTAATCCACATCTGCTGTGATTGCACGTCACAACCACAAGCTGCAGCATGAATAGACCTTAACTTTAATTATTTTTTTAATTTGACTTGATGTTTAAATGTGGTGTGTGCAGTTCACCCGTTGTCCCACTCTCAGTTCCTAGGTTAAGCCTTCCAGCTCTGGTAGTCTTGACCAAGCCGAGCTTCAACATCTGGAGATGGGTTGCCCGGCACTGTTACTACGGCGACCACTGCTCCAGACATAAGCCTCAGCGGCATCAGGATGGGTCAAATGCAGAGGATGAATTGCCCTACGGGGATTCATAAAGTGCACCTTTACCTTTAATTCAAAACAAGTTAATTTATTACAAATGCATTGCCAAATGTGTCATAAAACTTGTATTTATCCTTCCACACAATGGGTTGAATAAAGTATTATATGAGACAAGAAATGCCCCCAGAGAAATGGGATAGATGGAGGTGAAACCAACATGTTCTGCACCGAAAAAACGCCTTGGGTACGAAAAACACTGTGGCCACAAGGGATGCTCGTAAGGCATTATATCCTAATTTCAAGTTTATTATTTGTCACACACACATGTGAAATATGCAGCGATTCTCTTAACTTCCAGCAGATTTGTCATGACTATTCAATGTCACCACTATTCAATGTTACGTTTTATGACCTTTAAACTTAAAGAAGACTCAGATGGCAGCAATATGACCAGGCCGTGTGGTAAAGGGTGCACGCTCATCTCTGACCAGGAGAGGACGCCACACCTTAACTTAAATAGTTTCTTGTCCTACTCCTGGCTTTAGTGTCTGGGATAGTTCCCACACCTGTGTGCGTTTGATTTGCAGGTAATCCAAGAATTCAGGACTTAATACTTAGCCTTATTCAACGCTAAAGCTAAATTTTTATTACAGTTATATGTGGGAGCCATGCAGTAGTCAGTGTAGGAGCCTGTGGAAGGTCGGCTGTGGTGTGGTGGAGTTTGCCTCGCTTTTATATTGAATGTTTAATGGACATATTTTTATTATAATCATGAAAATCAAGCTCTAGAAGTAGGGGCAACTTGAGTGATGGTGTCTCGCCTGCTGTGAAAACTGCTAGTAATTGCAAGGTATAAGGTGTTTGGTGTTTATACTGGCAGACCAGAGAAGCAAAGCAGAGCTGGTCTGGTTACGTCCAGCACATTCTGTAATTTGTGAATGCAAATTATTTTTTGTAATGATAATTTAATTCAAATGATCACAAGCTGCACTTCACTTGAACACGCGTTTGTCATTTCAACACAATCTAAGAAAAACTTGGGAGAATCAAGGTAAGAAACAACACACCATTCTTAAACTGTTTATTTCTGCTCATAATCCTCACAAAAATGTCTCTCATAGAAACTTTTTAAATAAAGCTACTATTCATGCATAATTTTAAATCTATGTAATCTTTTTTTCAGACAGAAATACACAAAGCCAAAGCATTATTTAATTTTTACATCAATAATACATTTGGTTTGTCCCAGCAAACATTTACACTTTGGGGCTGATTGTCTGAGTGAGGGTGATCCTCTCTTCACTTTTCTATCTAATAAAAAAGACAAGAATCAGCCACATAAGCATACATCAATGTGAAAGTAGAACCAAACTGTTTTTACAGAGAAGAACTAGTTACATGGATTTTATTACATCGTGACTAAAAGTTGTCTAAAAGTAAAGTACCCCAGCTTTATTAATCATAGGTTTCAGCTTCATAAAGTCTGAGCTTCAAACCTTTTTGCAGTAAACAGTAGTGTAAAGACGCAGTATTTGGGTCCATATGTTCTAATCTTTCGGTTGTATCTTTTCAACAGACATGTTCAACTCCACATCTTTTTTTGAAGCAGTTTTACTCTGCTACAGCAAAAAATCCAGTTATAACCAGTTCCTCGTTTACATCCTGATCAATGTGCCCTTCATTCTGCCCGTGTGCATCTGCATCCTCAGTCTGGGGCTGCAACGCTACAGGAGCAGAGCCCAGATCAGCCACTCCGACTTCTTCACTTACAACATGGTGCTCACCCAACTCATCGGCATCTTAGGATCGTGTCTTTTATTTGCAAACTACTTCATCAAAAATAGAACTATTATACGTGTCACCATTTATATGTTTTATTTCAATTACATCGCCATCATAGTGTTTCAGATCCTCACTTGCATCGAGCGCTATGTGGCTGTAATTCACCCGGTTATTTATCGCAATCTGAAATCACGCAAATGGGTTGTCATCCGAAACATCGGCAATGTTGCGGTTTGGCTTCTGAGCATGGGATTTTCTATCTATATTTGCACCATACCACAAATCGAGCAATACATAATTATATCTTTTACAAGTTTGACCATCTGTGTTGTCCTGGTCTTGTTTGGCAATCTCCGCATCCTGCACGTGCTGATGCGTCCAGGACCAGGAGATGGCGCCAAAGGCAACGCAGCCAAACAGAGGACATTATACACAATTATGATTCTCACCGGAGCACTCTTGGTGAAGTTTAGCGGAGATTTGGTGTCTGTTGGAAGTCTTTTAACTTTTAGAATTACAGATGAATCTTGTGCATTTTACTTTTCACCGATGTGGTTCGGTCTGCCGAGCCAGCTGGTCTTACCACAGCTTTTCCTGCAACGCTACAGAAAATTGCTGTGTTTTCGAACAAAGAAGTAGCATGCCAATCATCGCCATTATGGAAATGTGGAACAGTCCATTATTTGCTTTTTTCCATCACCTGCTTTAAGAATGAACCACTGACCCGTCCCACTGCTGTTGTGAACGATGAATTAAACAAATCTTGCATGATTTTCCTGAGCTCATTTGAATGTCATGGTTGTGGAAAGTGCACTAGATGCCACCAGTGAGTGCTAACAACTGGTATGCAAATCCAACAAACAAATGTAGGCAATACGTTGTCTTAAAGCAGTCTCTCACAACCAGGCAATCAGCAAGAAGCATGGATCTCAAGGAATTCAGTAAGAAATACACTTTTAAAAATCATGAAACTGTTTGAATAGGTGAATTATGTTTGTACAAAATACTTTGCTTCTAGTTATGTATTATTTGAGATAGGGGTGCATCATTTCTTATGTTCATTTCTTGGGCGGCACAGTGGCGCAGTGGTTAGGTGTAAGCTTAACACGAAGGTCTTGGGTTCCTGTTGGTACTCCGGTTTCCCCTACCACTAAAAAAAAATCCAATAGGTTTGAATATACTGAGAGAATGAGTGGATTGTGATGGTCAGAGTCGTCAATGTACCTCTGTCATCACCGCGTGTGTAGTTAATAGAAATTATGGGTACACCAAACTTTAGTTTGGTGTATAGTTAACTTTTTTAACTATTTATTTGTGCATAACTTTGTATCTTCGTAAGGCATCCTTGAATGCCATGGTGCTATATCAAGAAAATGTATAACTATTATCACCCAATAATAGAACACTATGATGGAAGCGGGCAAGATTCAGCAAGAGTTTTGTCCCCTCAGCCAGAGCAGCTCGGATCAGTCTGTTCGTGTTGTTCGTGTCCATGTATTGTTGTGTATTGTCTTGTTGTAACTTCCTACTTCAGTGTTCTATGGATGTGACAGTTTCTGTGGACATGAATATGCCGCAGGGGACAAAGGTGTATCTATCTATGAACTTGAATGACGAAAAAACGGACAAACACATTCGTACATAGATATTTTCTCAGAAATGACTCATTTGTATAGTACAATTTCTAGTGTACAATAAACACTAGAAATGTGATTGTCATGGTAAAACAAAAGTAGATGCTTGACCATACATTATACAATATTAGACAAAAGTCATACTTTTTACAGACTCAGCCCCCAATTTTCAATTACACTCCATACACACATTCCTATCAAGCTCACATACACCTCATACACTGTATATAATGTAGCCTGATGAAGCCCTACACTAAAGTGTGCATGGACAAAGTTGTGCTCCAATCTGCTCTGGCTCCTTGTATAGATAGAAGCCTTATAAGGAATGACCAAGGAAAGGCCTTAATTTCTGGGGGCTTCATTTCTAGCAACCATGTTTACAACACACGTGTGACATTGCCCCCTTACGGAACAACTGCTCACATAAGGACACTGGTTCCAGCTCTCTTATTTTCAAATCAGCTTCTTCCACATTCAGCAGACCTTATGATGACATCAGCACTCGGTCCACTCCAACATTCTAAAACCCCGTTTCCACCATCCCCACTTGGCCCTACTCAACTAGGCTCATTTAAACCTGGTTGCCTTTCTATTACGCTTTAGTATCTAGTACAGTATCCTTACAACCTACCAACAACAAACCATTATCTGGGGAAACCCCCTTGGTACCCATGGCATCCAATAGCACTCCGGCTGTTAGCTTTAGAACCAGCTCGGTCGGGTTAGAACTAGGGCCAAGCAGGTACTAAAAAAGCACATGATACTGGTTTTAAAAAAGGGCTAGTGGAAATTCTCCCAATCGAGAAGAGTAGAGCCAAGTAGACTAGAGTAGGGCTGGTGGAAAAAGGACACACAGTTTGATACACACTCATCATACATGGGTACTGTTCTATCCTTCCAAAAGCCATTTTAAGAGTGAGTTTGAGAGAGTGGATGTTCTTTGTCTCTCTACAGACAGGTCCAGTTGTTCACCTGCCGGTTTATTCTACATGTGCATCGATTCGCCCTCTACCTCTCACCAAACCGTCGCTTTCATCCTCATCAACGTTCCCCTCGTGCTGCCGGTGTGCGTCTACATCCTCTGGCTGGGAGCGCAGCGGTGCAGATCCCAAATCAGCCACTCCGACTTCCTCACCTACAACATGGTGGTCATCCAACTTGTTTGCATCTCAGGAGGTTGTCTTTTGACCCTGAACAAGTTTCTGAGACAAAAAGAGATCACAACAGCGGCAGTTTGTGCGTACTGTATCTCATCAGTTCCGCTGGCACCATTTTTTTCCAGCTCTTCACGTGTTTTGATCGTTTCACAGCCGTGGTTCACCCAGTCACGTATCTCAGATTGAAATCGCAAACCTGGGTGCTTGTCCGGAACATTGTCTGTGTCGCCGTTTGGCTGTTCTCCATCATAGAATCGTATATATTTGCAAATTTTCTCACCCAAACGCAATATTTAATCTTTTCTGTCTTGTGCTTTACATCCTGTGTGATTGTGGTCCTAGTTTGCAATCTTTGGATTCTCCATGTGCTGATACGACCGGGGCCAGGGGATAGCACCAAAGGGAACCAATCCAAACTTAGAGCTTTCTACACCATTACGGCCATTACTGGAACTCTTATGGTGAAGTTTCTTGGAGATTTTTTCAGTCTCACAAGCTTAACTTTAAATATATTTAATTGTGATACCTCGTGTGCCTTGGGATTCTCTTCTGTCTGGTTCACTCTGCCAAGCACCCTGGTTTTACCGTTGCTCTTCCTGCACCGTAATCTCAAAATTCCCTGTTTGAAGTGAAAATAAATTGTACATGTAGTGTTGAGGGTGACCCCCACTGACCATTTGAGGGGTACCTTAGCCGTGATGTCACCCTAGGTATATATTAGCTAGGATCCCTTCTTGGGGTCTATTGGTCTATGTAGGATCTTTGTATTCCTGGTTTGGGCCTAGTATCTGTATAGAAAATGAATTATAATATGATTATGTTATTATATTTGCATGATAACAAGTCGTATGTACACGATGTAAGTAAATTTGCCATGAAAAAATAAGTGAGCTTAGAAAAAAAAGCAATTTGCACTTTAAGTCAATTTTGAAAAGAATATCAAATTTAGTGCCAAACCTTTAGTGTAAAACCTTTTCCTATTTACTTTCAGAAATAAAATATGTTTGTTCACAAATACAACTAAGACCCTCTCTTTACTCCCAGTATGAGCTTCTCCCATCCCTCCGGGAAATAATAAAAGATTCCGCAACTGGTATAAGAACTCACTCCTCTCGATATCTGGGAACTACCTCTGTCTTACACTTTTAAATATGTGTAATTTGTAAATAATATTCACTTAATGGTACTGTTGATTTTGTTTACATTGTTTTTCATTGTGTTCATGTTTTGAGGTAAATTGCTGTGAAATATCAATAAAGTCATTTAAATAGTGAAAATGTGTTTGGAGAGACTTTAATGATTAAAAAGTGTATTTGTGTGTGTTCCAATTATCGTGGGATCACTCCAATGCACTGGAGAGCAGACATCTATTTCATTTATTTATTGATTTATTTGATAGGGACAAGTGTACACAATCAACACATGAAACACTACAACATTTAGAGCCGAGGCTAAATTGCAATGTCCGTCCCTAGGAGGGCTTTTAACACAATGAAACCGATGGCCGAATCTCGGATTCAGTGGGAGCAGTGTGGTTTTCATCCCGGTCGTGGAACACTGGACCAGCTCTATACTCTCCATCAGACACTTGAGGGTTCAAGGGAGTTTGCCCAACCTGTCCACATGTGCTTTGTGGATTTGGAGAAGGCGTTCGACCGTGTTCCCCGGGGTGTCCTTTGGGTGGTTCTCCGGGAGTACGTGGTCTGGGGTCCTCTGCTGAGGGCCGTCCGGTCCCTGTATGACCGGAGCCACAGCTGCGTTCGTATCCCCGGCAGTAAGTCAGACCTCTTCCCGGTGCATCTTGGCCTCCACCAAGGCTGTCCTTTGTCCCCGCTTCTGTTCACTAAAAGAGCCCGGATTCAAGGATTCAATCATCACGCCATGAAACATACGATGGGACAGCATTAGGAAAAGCAATGAACTGGCTGCAGCTGAATTAATTGAGATTGTAAAGGTGTTTATTTTGTTATTTTGGTACTTTCCCCTGTGTTTTTCCTGTGTTGCTCTGTGTCCATCGTCTTTGTCAATGTCTGTCCTGTTCCTGGTTCTTTTTGGATTTCCTCCTTTTTCACTCCTCCTTTGTTTCATCTCTTGTCAATGATGACAGATATAGTAGGAGAGACGGTGGAGTCTTGGTTCCAACCCATAACTCCTCCCTGTGTGCTTTCATGTCCTCTATCAAGTCGCCCCATTCATCCCATCATTCTTCTATCCTCTCAGTTTCCCAGAGATACACAGTTTGTACCACGCAGCAGATAGTTGTTGTTGTCGTTAAAACCCTCGGAAATCACTGTTTGAGTCTCAGTCTTCCCAGCTTTTGTGTTTTTGAGGTTGAGTCTTCCCAACTGTGAGTCTTTGATTTTGATATTACTCATTTATGGACATTGGTCATCTGCCCCTTATGGACCAATTGCTCTGTGTGTTTATTATCATTGCACTTTTTGTGTTTGAACTGTTTGATTGTCTGATCTGTGTTGGCGAATACAACGGTTCTACAAAGTCCTGCAAGATATCTACTGGTACATATGGTTTACGGCTATGCAAAAACAAATGGAATTGAATTGAATATCTTTTTTCACATACTTTTTATAATGAACAAAACAGAGGAAACACACATTATTGTGACTTTATTAAAAAACACACCTTGAATTGTTGTGGCGCTCCTTCTTTAGGAACAACATCTTGAAGTCTTTTTCGTTTGCATGGACTTTTGAGTGAAACAGTTGTGATCAGTTGAAACTTGTTATTAATAGAGTTGTAGATGTTGGGCAGGTGGCTAAAAAGGTTTTATTCACTGGAAAAAATACATGAGATGCAAAATAATGCAAAAGAAACCCCCACACTGTCATATAGTGTAAGGGCTATCAAATGTAGTGCATGCAGAGCTCTGGAGCCGCACTCATGCTACCTTTTTAACCTATATTTTTCTGTGTAAGAAATATTATTTTTCAGAAATAAAATATAGTGAATAACCTAAAATATGAGGAAAGATTTGCTGGATTTGTTTTAAAGCAGTCAAAATGTGCTGAAATTAAGATACATTTTGCTAAATTTGAGCACTTTCGGACTTAATTTTCTTCACTTTTTGCAGTGTGGTCTATTCTATTTGTTTCGCAATAAATGGTAAATGGAGATTCGAATCTTCCGAGTTTCCCGTGTTTCGTGTCAATATAAATTCTGACAGCTTAGAATTTGGAGTTACTTTTTCATCCAACAGCTCTTTTTTTCTGTTTGACTTATTAGGCATCAGTCCTGACATGTCCTACAACTCAACGAAAGCGGTCTCCATCACGGGGCACCTGATCCGATGCTTCAAACTCTCCTCCACCACCAACCACCTCATCGCCTACGTCGTGGTCTGCGCCCCCTTCGTCATCCCTCTCTGCTACATCTTCTATTGTGGAGTGCAGCAGCTGAGGAACAGAGCCAAAATCAGCCACACCGACATCTTCACCTATAACTTTGTGACCATCCAACTCGTTGCTTTTTTCGGCTCTGCTTCCCAATTATTCAGTATGATCATGAAAAGTGAGCTGATTTTAGAATTAGTAATATCCGTCTATCTCATCAACACTGCAGTACTCATCAGTTTCCAGATTCTTACTTGCCTTGAGCGCTACATGGCGGTTGTTCACCCGGTCACGTATTATCTCAGTTTGAAATCCCAAACTTGGACTACGATTAGAAACCTCACTTGTGTTTTTGTTTGGGGCGTGAGCATAATTCAATCCTGCATGATGGGCGTCATAGAAAGCGTGATTGGATATTTCACCTATTGTCTTATTGGTATATCTGTGAGCTTTATCATTGTTGTGTTTTGCAATGTTTGCGTTCTGCACAAACTTCTGCGTCCACGACCAGGAGACGGCGTCAAAGACAGCGTGTCAAAACAAAAGGCTTTTTACACAATCGCAGTCATCACCGGAGCGCTGCTGCTGAAGTTTGGAGGAGGTGTGTTGTGTGTGACTCTGTACTTAAGTTACTTCGATGAATACAACTCGGACAGTTCGTGTGTGCTGTTTGTCTCTGAGATTTGGTTCACTCTGCCAAGCACCCTGGTCTTACCAATTCTGTATCTGCATCGCAACGGGAAACTTCAGTGCAAATGAACATGTGATGGGTAGACAAACAGAAAATAATGAAACGACTTTGTGATATGTGAATGCAAAGCCCTGTCAACAATGGATAATTTAAGTTAAGGAACAGTGCCACAGTGGGGCGGCTGCGGCTGTAAAGTGCCAAACTGTTGTTGTGTCCTTAGGCAAGACACTTCGCCCACATTGCCTAGAATAAGTCTGTTGTGTGTGTGAATGGTTGGTGGTGGTCAGAGGGGCCGATGGCACATATTTTCTGCCTCACTTCGATCAGTGTGCCCCAGGGCAGTTGCGGCTACGGTGGTAGTTTATCACCACCGTGTGTGGAGTGAATGAAAAATGACATGTGAAGCGTCTTTGAGTCAATTTTCATCTTAATAATATGTACCTAACTTCTCTTATTAACCTTGAAACATATGTCTACATCACCTCAATGTTGGCTTTCATGAAAATGCAATGTATCACCGGCCAAAATGTTTTTTTCCACCATGTATGTGATTATATTGTTCTTTTTTTAATAAGTTCATAAATGTACAAACGGCATGTAAAATACTGTATATCTGTAAATAAATGATTTATTCCTTATGTATAACCATTATTATTAAAGGCGTTCCACTCTGTGAAAACAAACAGGTGTTGAGGTCTGACATGGGGTTTTGAATATTTCCAGTTTCAATCTGCGGCTGATTTGAATAATTATTATGGCAATAGGACCCAACATATTTTACAGAGACTTACAATAGTTCAAATACAATCCATGCACTTCACATTTTATCTTTTATATGACCATAAACATAGATTATTTAGTTTTGTTTTTCTTTTGAAAGACCTCAACAAAGTAACAGACATCTGTGAAGAAAGAGCAACATCATAAATGTTTATACGTATTTAGTTCAAGATTCTAAACAAGAATCAATTATTCTAATTCACAGTATTTAAACATATTCACATATAATAAACACACATGCTTATTTACATAAACATACATTTTAAAGGGTTCCTTTTGTCTCCTATTTTTACGGCAAAATTCTTTTGTAAAAGTCCTAACGATTACATAGAGCCTGTCTGAGTGTAATCTACAGGCTCAGAGAATGTACAGCTGTTTCACCTACAAAGCCATCCTTAGAGTGTATTGGTCACCAAACATCATCATGAAGGCTAAGGAACCACCTAGTAAGGTCAGGGATAAAGTTGAAGAATAGTTTTCTGGTATTGGTTGGGCAATGCAAACATTTCCAAGCTTTAAACATCTAAAAAAATACTGTTTAATTAATTATCGAGTATAAAAAGAGTATGGCACAACTGCAAATCAAGCAAGACACAACCAGACACAGCCACAGCCAGTCGGAAATCAGAATAGGCTATAATACTTATATCATAAACATAATATTAATATAATCAGCTTTTGTCCTGGTTAGTTTCTATGAATTCATTTAGATTAATGTGAGTTTTGTCCGACTGCCTGGAAGGACAGGTCGGGGGCAGACTCTATAAGGGCATTTCCTCTGACTCCGCAAGTTTCCATATCTTTGAATGATGGTCTTGAAAAAAAGAGTATGATTAATCTGACTTATTCAAAGGTGTGTGGTTAAAACCAACACTGGGCAGTCACTAAAAGCCCTCTAGACTCAAGCAAGCTCTGGTAAGGAACAAACATACCTTGAATCATTACAATGTATTTTCTAATTCTTCAGAGACATTTTTCAAAGTTTTAGGTGGAGGTTTTGCATCATAGTATTTCTAACACGAATGTGTTTTGTTGTACTTTTGTTCAGAAATGGCCTCTCAAAACCAGATCGTGCTGCTCCTCAACAGCTCCTGTCTGAACTCTCCTTCTGGCCTCCCCATCATGTTCACCTACACTGTGGTTTGGCCGGTTCTAATTTTCCCTCTTTACATCCTTGTCCTGCGCACCAGTTTTCAAAGATGGAGTCCAAGCAGTCGCTCAACTGTGAGCCACACCGACTTCTTCACCTACCACAGTATTCCCTTTGAGCTTTTCGTCTACATTGGTAACATAATATTAGCACATGCCACACTTATATCTGAAAATTTTCTCTTTCTGTCTGGATTTACTCTCATTATTTTTGCATCTTCTGGCTCAATGGGAGTTCAACTACTTACTTGTATGAGCGTTATCTAGCAGTGGTTTATCCCGTAGTTTATTTGAGTTTGAGAAAGCAGCAGTGGATTTGGGCAAGACATTTGAGTATTTTCATTATTTGGTTGTTTTGCACGTTCTGGACGACCTTGTTGTGTTTACTTGAGAATAATTATCTTCCAGTTTTACTTGTATTGGTTTTAGGGGCTGGTTTCATGATCTTTTGCAGCCTTGGAGTCCCGCATGCTTTGAGAAATCCCGGTCCAGGCGAAGGGAAAGGCATGAGCCAATCCAAACAAAGAGCTTTTTTCACAATCTTAGCCATTTTCTTTGTTCTTCTGTTTTGGCTCACAGGAGGCGCGGCCTTCTATCTTATGGTTCAGACGAATGTGTTAGAAAAAGATGCTCTTTGCATCTTCCAGAACTCCTTGTGTTGGTTTCAGCTCCCGAGCAGCCTTGTGTTACCGCTGCTGTTCCTGTAACGGGCAGGAAAAATGCCCTGTTGAGAGGTGTGTTCTCATTTTTGGTGAGGGAAAGTGATAGATTACTGAGTAAGGATAAGATTACTGTGGACAAACAGTTTGAATCAGACCTGAGACAAATTCTTAGCGATAATTATGAGAGCTAAGTCTGCTCAATCTCTTGTAGGCTCGTTAGAACAAGGGGTTCCAAACATTTATCTAAATTCTGTGTTTTCAATCAATCAATCAATCAAATATTGTCTTTTGTGTTGTTTTGTGCCAACCATAATAAACTATCATAGACTTGTGGAGTCTACTTTTGCATGTGTGTTTTTCGCTCCCACCTGAGCTTCAACCTGCCCCGCCCTGCTGTTCATGTGGAGCCCCAATCCACGCGTTCGGCCGAAGAGCCACGACCAGTTCAACAGCGATACTGGTCGCAGCTATGTTTTTGAGTTCTGAGAGACTTTGAGAAACTTTTGAAATGTTATGTGTTTGAACTAGTGCTGTCCAACGATTAAAATATTTAATCGCGATTAATCGCATGAATTTCATAGTTAACTCGCGATTAATCGCAAATTAGTCACACATTTGCGTGCTGTGTGCAATTGCTTTTTTTATTGAAAACAATGTGTAGTGTTATATTACACACTAACATTTGATGCAAAATCATCAATAAATGGATGACAAAATAAATAATTGGTAACAAAAAGCCCCTTCAATGTGTGTGTGTGGGTGTGTGTTGTATGTGTGGGTATAGACCATAGACTGTATAGAAACATCATGGTGTCATTATGATGATGATAAACAATCTGTAAATATTTTGTAAATTTGTTCATGTAAATACTCTATGCTGTTTCTCTGTTTACCTTCGGTATATCTATGACTGTATACTGTTTGCTTGTATTGCCTTTTTTATTAACCCCTCCCCCCATCTCCCACTTCATGTCCCTCCCCTCCTATGTGCCCTTCTGGGTTTCTTCTTTGGCCCCCTGTATCTCCAACTACATATTGTTTGTAATCTCTGTCTACAATGTATCTGAACTAGTCCTTTTCTTTGTTTCTATGTGTTTGTCTGCAATAAAAAGTATTTTTTTTTTTTTTTTTTTTTTTTTTAATCGCGCGATAAAAAAAATGACGGCGTTAATATTGATTTGCGTTAACGCGTTAATAACGCGCTATTTTGGACAGCCCTAGTTTGAACATATAAATTAGTAGAGCATTTTGTGTCCTTTGATATGTAACTCATTATCTAATTCATAACTGTTTTTGTTGTACTTACTTTTTTGTAAAACTATTGTACTTATACCTTTCTGACTGGCCCAGCCCAATGTGGTTTCTGAATTCTCAGGCCCAAAACCCATATATATATATATATTTTTTAGTACGTATATAGTGCCACGCACTGATATGAACACAGGCCCGGCAAGAGTGTAGAGTTATACATGGTAGTAATGTGTTGCAATGAGTTCTTTGTATACGGCGTGAACGGCCGCAGCTTTATGATGCCCAGATGCAGCAATAAACTACAACACACTTTAAGGTAACCCTATGTGTCGTCAATGACAACACTATTCAGAACAACAAATACTACAGCATGATAATTTAATCTGCTGCTCTGAAAATGAATAAGTGCACGAGCCCGGCCTGTGTCCGAGGTAATTATACTGTCAAGGGCTCAAGTGCGACCTCTAGGCTGAAGCTAGGAAAATATGAGGAGTTTACTTTTATTGTGGACAGTCTAAAGCCACTGATATCCAACTTGGCACAGCCATCGAAGAGGAGTGGACAAACATTCCACAGGCCACAATTGACAATCTGATAAACTCTATACGAAGAAGATGTGTTGCACTGCATGAGGCAAATGGTGGTCACACCATCGATACTGACTGGTCCTGAGTCCCCAGACCCCCAATAAAGCAAAATAATACACATTTCAGGGTGGCCTTTTATTGTGGACAATCCAAGGCAAACCTGTGCACTAGTCAGGATGTCAGATCAGCATCTTGATGTGGCACTGTGAGGTGGGATGGATTATCTCAGCAAAGCAGATCTATCACACATTTAGACAGAATTGTGAACACTGTTTGAGTGAAATTGTAATATTGTGTATCTGGAATAAATGTTAGATCTTTAAGTCCATCTCATGGAAAATGGTGTGCAAAAACAAAAGTGTTGTGTTTATTTTTGTTGAGTAAAGTTAATAAATAAGGCTGCTATAAGAAAAAGGAATGGCTCTTTTCTAAGACTTTTTTTGCAAGCCTAAAACTGAGCTGGTAAATATAACAGACTGCCTAAGCCCGTACGTTTCCACTGAATATTTTGGTCATCCGAAGCTAAAAGCAGACTCCGTGGCAGGTATTAAACATATGAACGCTGTGTGCACTTAATCAACAGCTATTGAAAATAAATCTTGCTTTGGATAAGAGCAAGTCAAAGTAGTTCCAGTCAAAGCATTATAGACTAAGACAGACAGAGTATACTTTTTAATCAAGTTTTACATCTACAAAACTTTAACTTAAACTTTAAGGGATGTGGCTGTAGAGGGGACTACCAGTGTACTCTGTATGTTTTTACAAGGGTTCTTAATTGTAAAAAAAAGAGAGAAAAGAAAGGTGTCTGGATCTTGAAAACGTTGACAGACTGCAATGCAATGAGACAGAATCATACCAGATGGAAACAGCATATCTTGTGGGTAAGTACTTGTTGCAAATAATACCTCAGTAAACCCAATGGATACGCTATTGCCTCTTCTCGAGTCTCTTCTAGAGTCGCCAAGCCCCCTTTATTAACTATTATTAACTATTAAAGCAAGGACACACAAGGCGGAAGATACTGTTAAATATTTGGCAGTTTGCTTTTTTTTATAAATAGCAGTGATGTCTGTACCAACAGCTAACTGGAAATAGCACCATAAGTTCTATAAATGATTGTGAGATGGGTCTGGACAAGTTCCTGTACTTCTATTTCACCAATTGCCTGAAAGGTTGGGTCACAGAAAGGACATGATCCGCAGGTTTACATGATTTTGATTAATGGTTCTGAAAAAAAGGAGTAGGGTTGCTCTCACTTGTTCAAAAGTCTGTGCTTGAACCCAGTCTAGGGAGTCACAATAAACACTCTGGACTCAATCGACTCAAGGTAAGGAACCAAAATCATTCACTTGTAAGCAATATATTTTTAATTATTACAATGGATTTTTAATCAAAGGTTTGGCAACAATTAAAATTCATATGTTTTTGAACGAAACCATTACATCCAATCAGTGGCTCGAGGTCACAAAAATCTATAAACATTTTCAACTTTAAAGGATAGATCTTTCTGCTGGAGGTTTTATTATTTTTCACTGACTCCACTGTCTTCACTGATGTCTTCTGTTGTTGTGTCCTTGGGCAAGACACTTAACTCACTTTGTCTATAAGGAGCGTGGAAGTGAAGTTCGCTGCTTGCCTCGATGTGTATGTGTATATGTGTATGCATCAAACTGAAATTTCCCCATTGAGGGACAAATAAAGGACCTTCTTCCTCTCTTTTCTTCTTCTATACCTGGCTGCTTTTATACACTCCCCAGCACAGGCATCAAGGGTTCATATCGTTCAGCAACCCTCCTCCTCCCCATCCAAACCATATCTTCAGTGATTCACTTTAGCTCTCACCACTAGGGTTTGAGCATGTTTTTTCATCTCATAATCTCTATTTTGATTTCCTACTCTGTATTCGTCATGTGGTGCTCTGCTGGGGTCTAAGCACCAAATCTATAAATTCATTTAACATACAGCTTGGAATAACTACCATTCTTACATATAATGTCTTCCGAGTCTTATGTGCCGGATCTATGCAGAAACCGACTAATATGTAAAACCAAAAAACATTCTGTTAATCAATTTTGTCTGCTCAGTCTGTCTGGATTGTAATATTAATAACAAGCGTTTACATGCTAATGTTTTATTTTATTTATCTTTCTCACAGAAATGGCCATTCAAGATGAAATAGTGCATATTCTGAACAGCTCTTGTGCATTCTCCAACACTGGATCCTACATCATGCTCCCCTACACAGTGGTTTGGCCGGTTCTGCTTCTCCCTCTTTACTTCTTTGTCCTGCGCACTGGTTTTCAAAGATGGAGGCAAAACAGGAGCTCATCTGTGAGCCACACAGACTTCTTCACGTACCACAGTATTCCCTTTGAGATTCTTACTTACTGTGGTTACACCACTGTATGCTACGCTTTTCTCTTGCCTGATCTTTACCATCTTGCTTTCTGTGGAATCTCAATCTTAACCTTTGCCTCCCTCGGAGTGCTGATTCCACACTTTCTCACATGTATTGAACGTTTTCTAGCCGTAGTTTATCCTGTTGTTTATTTGAGTTTGAAAAAGCACCAGTGGATTTGGGCAAGGAATGTTGTTATTTTGGGTATTTGGCTCATTAGTCCATTGTGGATGATCTTTATGACTTCCACACAAAGTCAAGGCATTTCAGTTTTCATTTTATTAGGAACAGGGACAAGTATCATAAGCGTTTGCAGCTTTGGCGTTTTAATCGCTTTGAGAAATCCAGGTCCAGGTGATGGTCAAGGTGTTAGCCAATCAAAACAAAGGGCTTTTTATACAATCTTAGCCATTCAGTTTGCTCTCCTATTCTGGCTCACATATGGAATAATATATTATATTCTTTCTGAATTAAATGTACTCAATCTCCATAGTAAGTGTTTTCTGCAGATATGTACCTGTTGGTTTCAACTCCCGAGCCCCCTTGTGTTACCGCTGCTGTTCCTGCAACGCGCCGGAAAAGTGCCCTGTGTAGGCAAATGACGACGCCCTTGACCTAACATCAAAACCTTCACTTAAAGATCCAATATTACGCTTTTTGACTTTTATCGCCTTTAAACATCATTACATTGCTATTTAGCTTTCATACACATGCCCAAATGAATGTTTTTCATTGATACCTTAAGCTTTAGTTAGAGAGCAATCTGTCTCCTTCATTCTCAAAAGGCTACGACTAGAAATAACTATATT